TCTATGTCTTCGAAGGAGCCCAGAACCTGGATCAGAAGGCCGAAGGCCTTCCGAGCCTTCTAGGAGGGCACGCCCCCTCTGACTTCACCCCTTGGGCACGCCGCCGAATCCAGCATGGCTCAGATGAGGGTCTTAGGACGGGCGTCGAGCCTCATTGAAGCTTTTTTGAGACGGGCTTGCGGCAGAGCGGGCGTTTCACGAATGGCGCAAGCAAGTGGCGTGACTTTCCAGATCAGCGTTTGTGGGACAGGTTCACTGCTGAATTCGAACCTTCGCTGTTCAACTTCCGCATGCATCCAGTGTGTAGCATGAGAGGGTGGGGTCTTCTGGGGACCTTTTTTGGAAGCCTCTTGGGGTCTTTCCGGAGCCTCTTGTGCGCTTCTGGGGGAGGCCTCTCGGGTTGCCTTAGAGCGAAGGAGGCCCGAAAATGCGAGAACGCTAAAGATCTTTCAAGCACCGTCGGGAAATCAATCATTTTGACCTCTTGGTGTCTTCTTGGGGGTCCTTTTGAAGCCTTCTTGGGGCGTCTCTGGGGTTTCGTGGGCCGTCTTAAGGACGTCTTGGGCCTCCTCGGAGAGCTCTGAGCCCGTCTCGGGGTCTCTAGGGCCCTCTTGGTACCCTCTGGGTCCGTCTTGGGGCCTCTTTGACTTCGGGAAAGGCTATGCGACAAGCCCAAAAACTCTTGTGAGAAGCCCTAGTTGATCCGGCCATTGGGATTTGAGCCCTTGAGTATTCCGGCACGGTGGTGGAGATATGCAGGCGGGCGGGGGACACCACGACCCAGGTGTCGACATGGGGGTCTGGGCGGCTAAGTGGCCAATCTGGACCCCGAAATTACCTCACAGGTTTGAGCGACCTCCAATGGCTCCGATTTCAATTTGTGCTGGGGCCGTCTAGGGCGTCTGGGAGACCTGGGGAGCTTTCCGAAATTTGTGACAATCGCGGCGCCTCGCCACCCTCTGACTGCTCTTCACAGCGCTCGGGATTCGCGGTCGATCATACTGACAGCGTCTTTTGTTTGACCCCAAGTGCGCATGTGGCGCGTAGAGCGCACGTGGTTCTACACTTTCCGTGTATACTACATGCATGTGTATGTACGCATTCGTATTTGTATGCAGATATGAATGCAATTATGTGTGTATATGTATGTACGCATGTATGTACATCTATGCATGTATGCACATATGCATGCATGTATGCACACATGCATGTACGCATGTATGCATATATGTGTTTGCATGCAATCATGCATTATAGTTGTCTGTCTGTCTGCGTGCCTGCCTGCCTGCCTGTCTGTGTGTGTGTCTGTCTATATATGTGTCTGCATGTATGTGTGTATGTGTATGTGTCAATGAGTGTATGTGTGCATGTGCTTCTGTGTGTATGTGGGTATGTGGGTTTCCACCTCTGTACACATGCATATTAACATATAGATACTGGACTGGACTGGAGGAAGCCGCGCTTAGACGGCGCATCGGCAGACAATCGTACTAGATAGGAGGCCACGAAAAATGAACATATGCCAGCTAAGTGCATGCGCGCTGGAACACGGCCACTGAATTGAACAGTGGTCGGCTGCGGTAGGCAATACGTCAGCGCGATACTATGCAAGAAGGGGGGCAAAAGGGAGAGACGAAAGGAAAAAGGAGGACAAGGACAAGGGGAGGAACACACTAACTACACAGATTTGCAACACCGTGCAACTGCTGCTTCCCAAGATGCGGGAGGGCCTCGCAGTAGGCTCTGCAGGCTATCTGGACAATCTCTTGCTAGGCTCAGAGCACACGTGTGCGTGTAATGCGTCCAGTGCAGGCGGGGGCGTCCTTGCTTCCGTGATATGTTCCATCTTCTTGGCAACCACCTGCATGCTTGCCCTTCTTCAAAGATCATTTGCCTGGGAAGTGCGCCGGGCCGATCACGAGCCAATTTCCCATGATAAACCGACGAAAAAGATGGTGAACGTGGGGTACCCGAACTCTGGAGTAACCCCACAAGGGTGAGAAATCAAACTCCAACCACCTGACCGTCCTGAGGACGGTCGTGGTCCAGAGGATGTAGCCTTTCAGCCATGTCGGTACCCAATACTACCATCGCCATCTCGACAGCGGCGGTCAGCTTGGTCGCACGTTCCGTCTGGCTCTGGCCGTCAGAGTAACACACCCTCCCCGACTTTGCCAGAACCCGCGGTGCAGTAGACCACCAGATGAGGGGTAATCCATATCTTCTGGCTATGCCAGCTCTTGAAAAGTGATATGTTGGGCACTCTGCCCAGTAGTGACGAAACGAGGGGGAGGCTGCGCCGCACTGTCGACATTCCTTCCCCGAGCATCTGCGCGTCTCCGAGGACACAGCTCCAGCACGAAAGATACGTACCAGTCTGCGTTCATTCTCTCCGAGACGCTTGAAGAATCTTTTGTACACCAAATTCGGCTCTGCGTCCACATCCACATCGAGGATGTCTTCAGCGTCGAACCTCTTGTCATTGACCTCTGCCAAACATTTGGTCCTAGCTACACAGCGTAGGAGATGCTCGACCTTCTTTTCGTAGCGTGGGTGGTCTGGCCGATGTGTCCAGAACCTCTCCGTTGATCCACAACACCTTCCAGCACCTTTGCCACTCTGTGGTCGTCGATGTCGCTCACCTCGAGACAACACCCTCGACGATCTGCGTAGGGAATGTACTGAAGGCCCAACACCTGGGCGTGCATACTCATCGCATTATCCATGAAGGTCGACCAGACAAGGCGCTCCTGCAAGATGATTTTGAAAGCCTGAAGTGCACCTGACAGGCGCGGATGTACATGAACATGTTGTGCCCACCGTCTTCCTTAGCACCACCATCTTTTGGTCGAGCGGGTGATTGATCGATACAACGATCTGCACGTCGACACGGGCGGCGGCGCCACCAGCGGGCAAGCCCACAACCACAGTGGGCGAATGAATGCTACTGCAAGCCGAGCACGGATCTCTGCACCTCCTGGCACCGTACCGAGCACTCGGATCGCCGTATGAAGCTTATCCCAACCTCCTCGAGGAGGGATTGGTCGCGATGCATCTGCAGGTGTCGCCACGATCCCCAGATGTTCCACAGCTGTGGGGGGACGGTCGGATCGAGCCCACATGTGACGCTTGCGAACGTTCTCCTTGAAGCCGACGTCGTTGTCGAAGCGCTGGGTGTAATCCAGATCCCTGGCCAGCTCCTGCGCCGAGGTGGAGGTGAGGGACCTGTCGTCCATGAAAACGTAGCCCACAGGCGGTTGCCACGACACCAGCGCCGCGATCATCGTAGCAGGGGCCACCGAGTCACCCTGAGGAAGCCCTCGGGTCGGCCAGATCGGCGGCGCCAAAGAACGGACACTACAATTCCCGCCAAGATGCCTCTCGCCAGTCTTCTGATATTGCTTTTTGTTGTCAACATCCATTACATAGTTCCCGTAGCATTTCCAAAGCCGTGTCACTGGACAACAGAATCTGCCATACATCTGGTGGTACCTCATCGTTCCTTGCTGCTTTTTGCGTTTTTAACGCTTTGACCGATCGCCGCACCTCTTCGATCGTAATACTTCGAACATGTATGTGGAGAGGGGTCGCATTGAGTTCCACTTCAGGTAGGGCCTCGGGGCCGTAATATAGCTTCCACTGTATATCTTCCGAATAGTTTGCCGCCTTTTCTGTTTTCTGTTCGGAATCCACAAAAACTCAATGTTTGTCTCGCAGACGTCCTAGTCGTAACGGCGGCTGTGTCCTTAGAGAGCGTATCGCTTTCCGATCTCTTTCTTGGACCGCGTCCTCCAACGAGGTCCTCTTATCCGCACGCGCGGGAACTTCTACTTGTTTGTTCAGGGCCTTCACATCAGCTTGAACACCCATGTCTCTAAGTCTGTTCCTCTGGTCTATCAAGTGAAGTGTCCGTGAAGATATCCATGGTCTGTGCGGCGAGGCTGGTAGAAACGGCACGCTTTCAGCAGCCGATTCGAGCATGCAGGACGCGACATTCGCAGCTTTATCTTGTAGGCAAGTGCTTGGTACTTTCTTCTCTCACTTGCTTACGAAGCCCTCGGTGTACTTCTTCGCTATGTCCTCATTGCGTAAAGCCTTCCAATCGTATCGCCGCGGCCGTGGTCTCCAAGGTGTTCTGGGGATATTCATGTTCAGATCAATATTGCATAACAAAGTGGTGTTATTGTAAAGCTCTGCGACGGTCGCTCGAAGTGCTCTGAATATTCTGGAGCCACTTCAAAACGACGACGACGTGTTCAAGCTGCTTAAATTTGCCTGGTAATTTTGGGTCCATCGGAGACGTACCAATATCATGATAGCTTATCTTGGCTTCACTGTCAGCTTCAAACAATGTGTTAGCGATACAAGTTGTCAATGAGGTACACAATTCCATTAGCAGCTCTCTGTTCGACGCTGGAGTCCATCTGCTTATGAAGTTGTGAAACACATACTCTCCCATTCTATCTTCCTCTCCCGGAAATCGTTGCAGAAGTCTTGCATTGAAATCCCCGATTGAAATGGTTGGCCCATGTGACCAGCATTTACAATAAACGTGCTCGAGTTCTGCAAAGAAATCATGCCGAATCTCATACGAATGCGTATTCGTCCAAGCATACACTGTAACCAACGTCAATACACCTCCGGGCATCCGCAAATGCAAAGAAGCAATACGATTATTATATTGAAGGTAACCCTTGATTGATTGTCTCGCCTACGGTGCCACTATGTGGCCTACGCCGGCATACTGTCTGTGGTTCCCCTCGCTCCCAGATAAGATAATGAGGTGGCCCTCCAATGCAAAAACTTCGAATCCGCAGCAATGTGTTTTTTGGATACACAGAACTGCGATAATTACTCAGGTCGCGCATGTGCTGGATAATCTCGTGCACCTTGTGCGGGTTGCTCTGCGAGACGCCTTCGACGTTCCAAGATGCAACTCTTCGGCAAGATATGGGCCAGCATGGGAATGTTACCCACTTTCCCAGTGTAGGTGCACTTTGTTTGCCGATGCACCGTCGCGTTTCCTAATGGTTTGCAGTGCCTTTCCCCTTCTTCCCTTTCTCATTCCCCTTCGAAGCCCGCGTTAAAGCTTCGTTCACCCAGTCCGTGAGGTGCATGAATAGCCCCATCCAAGACAACGCTTCCGTAAACCGAACAAGAAGCTTTCGGGCACACGTTGTCCGATAGGCGCATCCGCACGTGTCCAAACTGCGTTGCGCTGGTGCTTGATCTGCGCCCTGCCGAATATGTTGACGAACTTGTCCCGGCAATCAACGTCACCAATCTTAACGAAGATAATATCATTAGATCGCCATGCCGGTACTTCTATACGGTCGAGATTCTCCTTCAAGAAGGTTATCGCCGCGTCCATGGTCGCAAAGTTACCCGGTCCACCGACAACACCATTGTACTCTCGGTCCCTATTTGATGTAAGGTCGCCGAGCTGCTTCTCGAAATCCGATAGCTTTTGTTCACTGTGTGATGTAAGGCTCGCTGCTGCTGCGGAAGTTGCGGAAGGCGACCGGGATCCAGCACCTTCAAGAGCTTCAATTCTTTCGGCGAGCTCCTTCATGCCAGCCTTGATGGGATTAAGGGTGGTGTCCAATTCTTCTCTGGAGATGCCGTGCAGCTTGATGGCCTCAATGTCCTTGTGGATGGGGGTCAGGTGGAAGGCAAGCTGCCTTTCGAACATGTTTTCGATGGCAGCCATGCTGATATCTCCAGATAATGTCCCCCGCTGATCCCCTTTACCTTGAAGTGCCACCGCTCCGGGACAGGCTGCAGCAGCAAAATCACCTTCGAATTGTTGTTGGCGTTGCACGCGGAGGTCTTCGTCGTCGTCGTCGTCCATGCTGTTCAGCGGGCTTTCATGACGAGCAGCCTTCTGCTTGCCTTGCGATGTTGCCGGTGGCTTTGGGCAAGGGGATGATCCGAAAAGATGCTTCACAGGGGTTCTGGCTCGCGCGCAGTGCCACCAGCGCCTGCAGAAAACATCGGGGTGGGATCGAAGTGTTAGTGCCTAGCGAGAATAATTTATACAAAACACAGCTTTGAGTATCGGGATGTGTGAGGGATGTGTGACGACGTGGGGGGAAGAAACGAATATGCGGAGCAGAAGAACCTGGCCCTTGAGGGTATGTCCGTATACTGACTTGCATGGTCATACCCTTTGGTGCGTGTATCACCTACACCGTCTACCCTCCGTTCCAGAGCTGTTCTGGCTCAGAAAATTTTGGGCTCCGAGCCAGTCTCCCCTCTCCCGCGTCGCGGGTGTGCGCCCGCCGCGGGGCGAGGGTCGCAGTGTGTTGAGGCATCCGCGCGACACCGTCGCGCGGCCTGGTGGCGCAGCCTGTGCCACGGCGTGCCGTGTAGGCTCGGCGAGCCGCGCACGAGCGCATTCCAGGCCTGGAGATGGATGCTGCGGATGGAGGCGGCGTCGTCGCATCAGTCGGCGAGCTGCTGGACGACGGCCTGGGGCTCGAGGTCGTCGAGGACGGCGAGGAGGTGACTGGCGCCTCGGAGGAGCTGGAGCCGTCGCCCGCCGAGCCGATCACCATCGAGCCGAACTCGTTCTACTTGAGTACAGGGTTCGGCGACGACGGGCAGCAGCAGTGCGGTTTCGTGTGGCGTGCGCTGCGGGTCATGGCCGCCCCCGAACAGTTCGTGCGTGCGAGGCTCCTCTTCAGCGACGACGCGTACTGGGACTGGTGGGCGGGGTGTCCAGGCGTTGCGGGTGCAATCTCCCCCAGCGCACTGCTGCATGTCTGCACGGGCGACCCGCGCGGTGAGGAGGCACCCGCGGGATGCGACGAGCTCATCCACGTCTCGGACGCCCGTAGGCTGGAGGCCGAGGACGTCGCCGAGGTCTTCTCGAATTGCTTGCGCCGCGACCTCGATGCGGTCTGGCCCGCAGACCTGCTGGGGCCGCGTGCGGCGCGGCTGGCCGCTCCACGTCGGGCGCCGCCGACGCCTGGCGCGGCAGGGCCGAGCGCGGCCAAGCGCGCGGCCGAGGGTCACGGCGCTCCCTTCGACGGGCTGCTCGGGGACAGTGCCCTGACGGCGATGGCTGCGGGACTCCCTCTCGACCTGGAGCCCGCGCGGGGCGAGCTGCGGGCCAGGCTCGCTGCGGCGAGGGGCCGGTTCGCCCCGGCGGCGCCGGGGGCCGCTGCGGCCGGCGCCCCTCCAGTCAGTGCGGAGGCCGCGCTGAGCGAGGGCAAGCCGAAGAAGCGGGGCCTCGCCGAGGTGCTCGCGGAGCGCGTGGCGAAGGTCGCCAAGGGTCCCAGCGCCGAGGCGACGCGCGGCTCGGGCGGGCCAGCTGCTGCGGCTGCGGCCAGCGGGGGTGCTGCAGGAGAAGGCGCGATGGAGTTGGCGACGGCGCTCATGGCAGTATTCAGGAGCTCGGCCGCGCGGGCCGCCGGCAGCTCGGACGCTGGGGCCGCTTTGGGCCCCCCTCAGCGCGGACGACGGCGCTCGCGCTGAGGTACTTGCTCACGATCTACTTGCCGCAGAACCCAGCGCAACAGATCGGGGTGGCTGCGTATCGCGAGATGCGGGCGCTGGCCGAGGCGGTCGACTTCCTCCTCCAGGGCAAGGTTCGTCAGGGGCTGGACATCTTGACCCGGCGTCTGAAGGCGGCGCAGGTGGCAGTCGGCGGCGGCCGTTGGGGCGCGGCGAAGTGGCTCGAGCTGATCCCTGCCAAGGACGAGCCCACCACGTTGCGCAGCGAGGAGGGGGGGATGATCCGCAGTATCGAGCTCGGCAAGCTGCAGCTGGAGGAGCTCAACAGCTGGCTTCGCAAGCCCCGGGTTTGAAGTGGGGGCCGGGAGGGGGCGCGCCCGCCGCTGGCGCTTCCTCCTGCAGGCCAGGCTGGGGGGATGCCCCCCGCGACAGCGCGGGCGCTTGGTAATCGCGCGCCCGACCGCCCGAAGCAGCCGAAGGGCAGCGCGAAGGAGGGCGGGGGGCCTCCTCACCAGCGCGTCACGCAGGTCGACAAGACCGCCAAGAAGCTGCCCGCTGGAGGCTCACAGGCGCCGCTGAACTTCGAGGCGGCGAGGGCTGCGTGCCCGAAGAAGGATGGCGAGACGTCGAAGGAGTACAAGGCGCGGCTGCGTATCTTCATGGCGGAGGCGCGCGGCCAGAAGCGGTGGCAGACGTTGCCGAGGCTGCTGGAGGTGCAGCTTCCGAGGAGGAGGGCGCGGCATGGTCCTCGACCTGTGGCAGCGGGTCGCTGCTCGTGTCTGATGACATCCCCTGGCCGGAGGCGGAGGGGCCAAGGGGCCGCCTCGCGGCGGGGGCGCCTCCCCGCGGGGGCCAGCAGCGGGGGCTGGCGAGCGCCTCACTCCTAGACGGCATGCAGGGGCTCCCCGCCGCGGGCTGTGCTGCGCGCGACGCTGAGGCGTGGCGCGCCGAGGTCGCGGTGCAGTTCGGCGCGACCATCGCGAACGTCGATATGGCAGTGCACCTCGCGCTGCTTGTCGAGCGCTACCCTGGCAGCCTGGGGGACTTCTCGAGAGAATTTGCAGAGCGCGTGTCCACGTTTAGCGGGGGCGGCAGGCGCGTTCGTGACCTTTTGCCGCTGCCCCTGCCAAGTCTCCTGGCTGTCGGGCGCAGGTGCGCGAGCAGAGATGCTAGGCAGAAGTGCAGAGCCAGGCCTGTCGCTCGGCAGGTAGCTGAGGAGGCCTGGTTGTTTCTCACCGCCACGGCGCTGAATTCCACGTGCAGCGGTCGCTGCAGGGAGGCTTGGAGGCATCGGCCGACTTTGTCCCAGGGCGGCCCGGGCATGCCGCAGCGCTGGGCGCCCTGGACTTCGTGGAGCCCAGCCCGACGTTGCCGAGTGGCTGGCCTCGCCCGAGAAGGCCCTTCTTCCCGAGGCCGACTGGTCCGACCCCATGCCTCGAGTCAGGGTCAACGTCGTGGGCGAGGCGGGTTGGCGCGAGCTCGCGGAGCACCTCGTGGCGCTCGGGATGTTCGCGGTGCTGAGCGAGGACCAGCTCGTCAGGGTGCGGGGCGAGCCGCTCTTGAACGGCCTCTTCGCTGTGGAGAAGAAGGGCAAGCCAGGGCCAGGCGCCGAGCGGGTCACCAGGCTGATCTTGAACATGGTCCCTGGCAACGCCCTGCTCAAGCCGCATGTCGGTGAGGCGTCACTCCTCGCGGCGTCTACGAACTGGGTGTCATTGCACATCCCCGAGGGCAAGTTGCTGCTGTGGTCGGGTGACGACCAGAAGGGGGCCTTCTTCGTCTGGAGAATCCCTACGGCCTGGCACCCCTACACGGCGGTCGGCAGGTACCTGATGGGGCGCTCTTCGGGCGCCCCGGGCGGCAGGTGTACATCGCGTCCGCGGTGGTTGCCGCGGCGTGGATGTTGGCGGTCCCCGTCTTCCTGCACAACCACCGCAGGCTGCCGCCTGCCGCCGCCCGGGGGTGCAGGGCTTCCGCCTGAGCTGGAGTGGCGGAAGAGCGAAGCACGCCCGATCGTCGAGCTGGGGAGTGGCCGCGAGGCCGGCTGGTGGCAGGCGCACGTCGACGACTTCGACGCGCCCGAGATCGCGGGCGAGGCGCGGGCGCGGCAGCTTGTGGACACCGAGGCGGACTGCCAGCAGCGCGTTCGGGAGAGCTACAAGCGCGCAGGCGTGGCCTACGCGGCGGAGAAGGCTCACCTGCGGGAGACGCGGGTTGAGCGCATGGGGGCCGACGTGGATGGCGCCAGCGGGCGGCTGGCAGCGCCGCGCCTCAAGGTTCTGAGTACCGCTGCCCTTTGCCTCGAGACTTTGTCGCAGGAGCCGGTGCCCTGGCGGGTGTGCATGACGGTCCTCGGCAAGCTGGTTCGGGCTTTTGAGTTTAGACGCCCGCTCTTCGGCCTCCTCAACTCCGTATGGTCCCTGTCGACGGCGCGATCGACGGTCCGATGCAATGCCGAGATGGTCGAGGAGCTCCTTTTGGGCCTTATGTTGCTGCCCGCAGCGGCCACCTGTCTCCGCGCCCGCATCGAGGGGATGGTCGCGGTCTCAGACGCCTGGGAGTTCGGGGGCGGGGTCTGCGCGTCTACGAGCCTTCGTGGGGGGGCGGCATCGGCCTTCAAATCCGTGGGTCAGGTCGCTGATCACCTCGGCGTGGGCGCTCGGCTGCTCAACATGCCTGTAGACCCGCGGTGCCCCTGGACCGTGTGCTGAATGTCCTAGTCGTGGGGCTCTTCGACGGCATCGGCGGCCTCGCGGTGTCGCTTTCGGGGCTGCCCGTCAGGATCGTCGCCTATGTCACCGCCGAGACCGACGCGAAGGCCAGGCGAGTTGTCCGGCTGCGCTGGCCAGGCGCGATCGACTGGGGCTACGTGGCGCGGGTGGGCGAGAACCTGGTGCAGGACTTCTTTGACGCGTTGTCGGAGACGGTGGGCGTGTGCGTCGCTGGCACGGGCAGCCCGCGCCAGGACCTCTCGCGCCTCAACGTGAGCGGTGGAGGCCTGCATGGCCGCAAGAGCTTTCTGTTCTACGAGGTGCCCAGGATCTTCCGGCTCCTCCAGTCCCGGCGAGGATTTTGCAGAGTGGGTGAGCCCTAAAAACGTGTGCCCGGAGGCCTCAGGAGACTGGCGGTGTCAGGCGCGGTGAGGGGTCCAGGCGAGGATTTTGCAGGGTGGGTGTGTGGGCCCAAAAAACTTGTACCCAGAGGCCTCCGGAGGCTGGCGGTGTCAGGCGCAGTGGGAAGTCCCGGTGAGGTTTTGGAAGGCTGGGTGGGCCCAAAAAACCTGAGCTCAGAGGCCTCTGGAGGCTGGCGGTGTCAGGCGCGGTGGGGGGTTCCGGCGAGGATTTTGCAGGGTGTGGGTGGGCCTTAAATACGTGTGCCCAGAAGCCTCAGGAGGCTGGCGGTGTCAGGCGCGGTGGGGGGTCCCGGCGAGGATTTTGCAGGGTGGGTGGGCTTGAACAACTTGTGCCCAGAGGCCTCAGGAGGCTGGCGGTGTCAGGCGCGGTGAGGGGTCCAGGCGAGGATTTTGCAGGGTGGGTGTGTGGGCCCAAAAAACTTGTACCCAGAGGCCTCCGGAGGCTGGCGGTGTCAGGCGCAGTGGGAAGTCCCGGTGAGGTTTTGGAAGGCTGGGTGGGCCCAAAAAACCTGAGCTCAGAGGCCTCTGGAGGCTGGCGGTGTCAGGCGCGGTGGGAAGTCCCGGTGAGGTTTTTGCAGGGTGGGTGGGCCTTAAAAACTTGTGCTTAGAGGCCTCAGGAGGCTGGCGGTGTCAGGCGCGGTGGGGGGTCCCGGCGAGGATTTTGCAAGGTGGGTGGGCCTTAAATACCTGTGCTCAGATGCTTCAGGAGCCTGGCGGTGTCAGGCGCAGTGGGGGGTCCCGGCGAGGATTTTGCAGGGTGGGTGGGCCCTAAAAACTTGTGCCCAGAGGCCTCAGGAGGCTGGCGGTGTCAGGCGCGGTGGGGGTCCCGGCGAGGATTTTGCAGAGTAGGTGGGCCCTAAAAACGTGTGCCTGGAGGCCTCAGGAGGCGGGCGGTGTCAGGCGCGGTGGGGGGTCCCGGCGAGGATTTTGCAGGGTGGGTGGGCGGCGCAAACCTGTGCCCGGAGGCCTCAGGAGGCTGGCGGTGTCAGGCGCGGTGGGGGGTCCCGGCAAGGATTTTGCAGGGTGGGTGGGCCCTAAAAACTTGCGCCCAGAGGCTTCAGGGGGCTGGCGGTGTCAGGCGCGGTGGCGGGTCCCGGCGAGGATTTTGCAGGGTGGGTGGGCGCTAAAAACTTGCGCCCAGAGACATCGGGAGGCTATCGGTGTCAGGCTATCGGTGTCAGGCGCGGCGAAGATTTTGCAGGGTAGGTAAGCCTGAAAAACTTGCGCCCAGAGGCCTCAGGAGGCTGGCGGTGTCAGGCGCGGTGGGGGGTCCCGGCGAGGATTTTGCAGGGTGGGTGGGCCCTAAAATCCTGTGCCCAGAGGCCTCAGGCGGTGTCAGGCGCAGTGAGGGGTCCTGGCGAGGATTTTGCAGGGTGGGTGGGCCTTAAAATCGTGTGCCCAGAGGCCTCTGGAGGCTGGCGGTGTCAGGCGCGGTGGGCAGTCCCGGCGAGGATTTTGCAGGGTGGGTGGGCCTAAAAAACCTGAGCTCAGAGGCCTCTGGAGGCTGGCGGTGTCAGGCGCGGTGGGAAGTCCCGGTGAGGATTTTGCAGGGTGGGTGGGCCTTAAAATCGTGTGCCGAGAGGCCTCTGGAGGCTGGCGGTGTCAGGCGCGGTGGGAGGTCCCGGCGACGATTTTGCAGGATGGGTGGGCCCGAGAAACCTGTGCCCTGAGGCCTCGGGAGGCTGGCAGTGTCAGGCGCGGTGGCGGGTCCCGGCGAGGATTTTGCAGGGTGGGTGGGCTTTAAAAACGTGTGCCCAGAGGCCTCCGGAGGCTGGCGGTGTCAGGCGCGGTGGGCAGTCCCGGCGAGGATTTTGCAGGGTGGGTGGGCCTAAAACCTTGTGCCCAGAGGCCTCAGGAGGCTGGCGGTGTCAGGCGCGGTGGGGCGTCCCCGGCGAGGATTTTGCAGGGTTGGTGGGCCCTAAAAACTTGTACCCAGAGGCCTCAGGAGGCTGGCGGTGTCAGGCGCGGTGGGGGGTCCCGGCGAGAATTTCGCAGGGTGGGTGGGCCCTAAGAGCTTGTGCCCAGAGGCCCCAGGACGGTGGCGGTGTCAGGCGCGGTGGGAGGTCCTGGCGAGGATTTTGCAGCGTTGGTGGGCCCTACAAACCTATGCTCACAGGCCGCAGGAGGCTGGCGGTGTCGGGCGCGGTGGGAGGTCTCGGCGAGGATTTTGCAGGGTGGGCGGGCCTTAAAAACTTGTGCCCGGAGGCCCCGGGGAGAGAGAGAGATATATATATATATATATATATTATATATTATATATAGAAGAGAGAGAGAGAGAGAGAGAGAGAGAGAGAGAGAGAGAGAGAGAGGGAGAAAGAGAAAGAGAAAGAGAGAGAAAGATGGTTAGGTGGTTGCTGAAAGGAACAAAGGATATCGCACGCGCCTCTGGGGTCGGCGGATTTTGACTCCCCTCCCCCTCCTCGCAACATCCTGCGCTCCTCTCTTCGACTCGGGCCTTTTGCTTCCCTTTCTCCCACCTCGACTTTGCCGCCCGCCAGGTTTGGCGCACAGGCCTCCCTCCCGACGCAAATCTGCCTAACATCGGTTTTTGGACCTCCCCGAAACCGACCTATCCTGATCCGATTTCCGAGTCGCGTCCAGCCGCGGCGACGGGGGGCCCCCGAGGACCAACGATGTTGAAATTAACCCTTCCTCAGAACTCCCTTCCCATGGGCCCCACAGCGGATCATTTTCATTTGGGGAATTGCTTCGTTGGAAGACAACCGTTTGAAGATTCTGAAGCATGCCCAAACATTGTTCTCGGGATTTCAACGTGTCAACCTGTTTGCTGCGTCTTGACGGTCCGGAATCGTGCCACAACGCCATTTTTGGGATTTCAACACCGCGGATCAACCTTTTTGTTGCGCCCGCATGATCCTGAATCCTTCCAAAAGACAATTTCTTGGTACGTTGATCTTGGAAATCAGTGAAACTCTTTGCAATTATTGGAAACGAGTATGCGCGGCGCTAAAGCGAGGGCCACATTTTGAAAACGACCCACCCCCAATCCGTGAAACTCTTGCAAACGATTAAAACGAATGTGCGCGGCGCTAAGGCGAGAACCACATTTTGAAAACGACCCGCCTTCAATCCGTGAAACCTTTGCAAATGTTTGAAACGAATGTGCGCGGCGCTAAGGCGAGAACTACATTTTGAAAACGACCCGCCCCCAATCCGTGAAACTCTTGCAAACGTTTAGAACGAATGTGCGCGGCGCTAAGGCGAGCATGTTGAAAACGACCCGCCCTCAATCCGTGAAATTGTTGCAAACGTTTAAAACGAATGCGCGCGGCGTCAAGGCAAAAACCACATTTTGAAAACAACCCGCCTTGACTGCGTGAAACCTTTGCAAACGTTTGAGTCGAATGTACGTGGCGCCAAAGCGAAAACAACATTTTGAAAACGACCCGCCCTCAATCCGTGAGACCTTTGTAAATGTTTAAAAGTAAAGTACGCGGCGCGAAGAGTAGAGTCACATTTTGAAAACGACCCGCCCACCATCTGTGAAGTTGTAGTCAATTTATAAGTTTCATAATCATAATTTATGAGGAATTCTCAGGCGAAACGCCCGGCCCGCCCTAAAAGATGACCTCGGGGTGCGACAGGGAGAAGTTATCTAGAAGGAGAAGGAATGGAGGAGGAGGAGGAGGAGGAGGAGGAGGAGGAGGAGGAGGAGGAGGAGGAGGAGGATGATCCCTCCTTCTCCATCCCTGCCCTGCGAAAGGAGGTACAGAACCTCACCGACAAGGTCTACGAGGTGCCCCACGAAGCCTTCGAGGAGGTCAAGAGGAGGCTGCAGACCGTGCCACGCGAATACCGCCACCACAAGGCGCCGCGACCACGCCCCTATTTCCTCCTCTCATCTGCGAGGATTCTTAGATGGTTGTCTCCCAATGGGGCAATTCCCGCAGTGAAAATGCATTTTTGCAGGGGCCCATGAAGAGGCGTTTTGGAGGGAGGGTTTGTTACAGGCAGCATCGATGGTGCGCGTTGGGTTTGCACTAGTCTGTCCTCCTCCTCCTGCTCTTGCTCCTCCTCGTCCTCCTCTCCGAACCGGTGGCCCGAATCTCGGCCACGCTCGGAGGGCAGCCTTGGGCCGCAAACTTGCCTGCCTGCGTCGCAGCCGTTGCATGCTGTACCGAGACGTGACGACGAGACAAGTGGTGCGTTAATCTAAGCTGGAGTAGTGGGGGTAGCACAAATGGTGTGGCTGGGGTCCACCTCCTCCTCATCCTCCTCCTCCTGCTCCTTCTCCTTCTCCTTCTCCTTCTCCTTCTCCTTCTCCTTCTCCTTCTCCTTCTCCTCCTCCTCCTCCTCCTCCTCCTCTTCCTCCTCCTCCCCCTCCACTTCCGAATCGCTCCTCTCGCCAGCCCGTGCCGCGCGCAGGGAAGGAGGGGCGCCTGCTGAGAAGGCCAGGGGGGGGTGGCGTCTGAGAAGCGGGGCCTGCTCGGAGCTATTTTTATCTGCGCGTGAGAGTGACCCTTCGCCAGAGTGACCTTTGGTGCGGGCAGACATGGACCCCCCCAGCACTGGCTGGCGCGCTTGGATTTGACTCCCCGCGGTCCCCTAAAGCCGCGTACCAAAGGTCACTCTTGCCTGGGGTCACTCTTGCGTGTAGTCGAGAGTTGCCCAGAGGACTTCTCAGAGGCCGCTGGCCTTCTTTGGGAGGGTTTTTCAGAAGGCTTCCTGAAATCCAGGAGGGCTTCTTGGAGTGGCCCGGAGGCTTTGGACAAGGCTTCTGGCAAGCTTGGAGGGCTTCTCAGAGGCTACCGCTGGCCCTCTTGGGGAGGCCCCGCCTTCTCGGGAGGCCGCCCTCCTCGTGCCTGCCCCCTAGGCCTTGGGCGCCGCCAGGAGGGGGAGCGCAGGGGGAGTCCTGATACATGCTGGAACTTGGCGCTGGATCCAGATCGGGCGGGGCTAGGACGAAGATGAGTCCGCTCCAGAGCGTTCTGGAACGCCCTCAGAGCGTTCCTGAACGCTCTCAGAAGGCCTGGCGCCCGAGACATCCTCCAGAGCTTTCGAATCTTAGAGATTCCCGATTTATCCTCACTTGATTTTGTCCTCGTCCGGGTTTCGTCTTACGGGACTTGGCGCTGGGGTCAGAGATCCAAGGCTGCAGACAGAATTGGAGCGGCCGATTTTGCCTTGTTTTCGGCCTCTGGGGAGCCCTCAATGGGCCCTGGGACCGTTAGGACGAAACCTGGCCCTACAACCTACAACCCTCGACAACATTAACTTCAAAAGTAGTTGACGTGCCAATTTAGTGTCGCCCCATTTCACCCGTTCAATGTCGGCCCATTCAATGTCGAAGCAGGGCGGGACGCGGTCTGGTCGGGTGCGCCTCGGAAGTTTTACGATGATCGACATTGGGGACGCGGCGCCAGCACGTACCTTGCACGCAATGTCACCCGAGCCCGGGACATCACATCGACAAGGATATTTCATGGTACATGTTTGAGGTTAATTCTAGACGCTTCGCGTAGGTCCCCATCCAGAAACGATGCCCAGGCGAATTGCCCTGATCAGGGCTGTGGAGGAGCATGCAGTGGAGTAGTGGGCAAAGGAAACCGTCCTAGTATCCCAGGGGGGGAGGGTGGAGGAGGAGGGAGCAGGAGGAAGGAGGAGGGAGGAGGATGGAGGAGGATGGAGGAGGAGGAGGAGGAGGAGGAGGAGGAGGCGGAGGAGGAGGAGGAGGAGGATGAGGAGGAGGAGGGGAGCAGCAGGAGCAGCAGGAGGAGGAGGAGGAGGAGGAGGAGGAGGAGGAGGAGGAGGAGGAGGAGGAGGAGGGGAGAAGAAGGCGAATGGAGGGGACTGGCACGTCTGACGCCGTCGGGAGCCGTCTTGCGGGCCTTCCTGGGCCGATTTGGACCATCTTGGGGCGGTTCGGGGCCGTCTTGGAGGCCATCTTGGGCGTCTTGGAGGCCATCTTGGGCGTGTTGGAGGCCTCTTGCACCGTCTTGGGGCCATCTTGGAGCCGTCTTGGAGGCCACTTGGGCCGTCATGGGGCCCTCTTGGGGGCCTCTTGGGCGATCTTGGGGGCCTCTTGGGCCGTCTTGAGCCGTCGGAATGCCGAGAGGAAGCAAATCCCCAAAATCCTTCAAACACCTAAGGAAAACTAATGATTTTGGCCTATTCGGGCCCTCCTGGAGGACCTCTTGGAGGCCTCTTGGGCCGTCTTGGAGGCCTCTGGGGGGGCCTCTTGGGCCGTCTTGGGCCGTCTTGGACTCTCTTGGGCCGTCTTGGAGGCCGTCTTGGACCATCTTGGGCGGACTTGGAGGCCATCTTGGACCATCTCGGAGGTCATCTTGGGCCAACGTGGCCATCTTGGAGGCCATTTTGAACCGTCTTGGAGGATTTTTCGGGACGTTGGGGTCTTGGGCAATGCTCCCGGGACCCCAGCGGGACGGGCCGAAGCGCCAGGGGAAGTTCTTTTAGAAAAAGAACCAAAACCCAAACCGAAAGGATCCAGCACGCCAGGCACCCTTGCGATGAATCGACAGGGGGCGGCGGATCGAAGACGCCTACGGCGAACCACCGCCGCCCCCTGCCTATTTGGAAGCGCCTATGTGGCCGATCGTTGAGGCCAGACCTGCCAAGCCATCGGACCATGTGTTCCCCGAGTCGGTTTGGAAAGCCTTCGGGGAACACGTGGCCTCTTCTGGCCTTCCTGGAGGCCCTCTTGGGGGCCTCTTGAGTCGTCTTGGGCCAGCTTCGAGCCAACTTCGGCCATCTTGGTGGGCTCCTGGCACGTCTGACGCCGCCACTTGGGCCGTCATGGGGCCCTCTTGGGGGCCTGTTGGGCGATCTTGGGGGCCTCTTGGGCCGTCTTGGAAGCCGTTTGGGGGGCCTCTATGGGCCAACGGGGGACCCTCTTGGGGCGCTTCGGGGCCGTCTTGGAGGCCATCTTGGGCGTCTTGGAGGCCATCTTGGGCGTGTTGGAGGCCTCTTGGGCCGTCTTGGGGCCATCTTGGAGGTCACTTGGGCCGTCATGGGGCCCTCTTGGGGGCCTCTTGGGCGATCTTGGGGGCCTCTTGGGCCGTCTTGAGCCGTTGGAATGCCGAGAAGAAGCAAATTCCAAAGTCCTTCAAAAACCTAAGGAAAAGCAATGATTTTGGCCTCTTCGGGCCCTCCTTGAGGACCTCTTGGAGGGCTCTTGGGCCGTCTGGGAGGCCTCTGAGGGAACCTCTTTGGCCTTGGACTCTCTTGGGCCGTCTTGGAGGCCGTCTTGGACCATCTTGGGCGGACTTGGAGGCCATCTTGGGCCATCTTTTCGATTTTTTGAGGATGTCCCGAGCGAAACGGCCGTTCCAGGGAGGATGTGTTCTGGACTTTGTGCTCCTGGGCAATCCTCCCGGGACCCCAGCGGGACGGGCCGAAACCCATTGGGAGAGTTCCTTTGGGAAAAAACCAAAACCAAAACCGTAAAAGTCCAGCACGTCAGGCACCCCTGCGATGAATCGACAGGGGGCGGCGGATCCCCTGCCTTTGTGGAAACGCCTATGTGGCCGAACGTTGAGGCCAGACTTGCCAAGCGATCGGACCATGTGTTCCCCGAATCGGTTTGGAAAGCCTTCGGGGAACACGTGGGCGTCTTGACGGTCATCTTGGCCGTCTTGGAGGCCTCTTGGGCAAGCTTTCGGCGATCTTTGGGGGCTCTTGGGCCGTCTCGGGCCGTCGGAAGGGCGAAAAGAAGCAAATGTCAAAACTTGTCAGAAACCTAGGGAAAATCAATGTTTGTGGCCTCTTCTGGCCTTCCTGGAGGCCCTCTTGGGGGCCTCTTGGGCCGTCTTGGGCCAGCTTCGAGCCAACTTCGGCCATCTTGGTGGGCTCCTGGCACGTCTGACGCCGTCGGAAGCCGTTTGGGGGTCTCTATGGGCCGACTTGGGGCCCTCTTGGAATGCTCCAGGGCCGTCTTGGAGGCCATCTTGGGCGTCTTGGATGCCATCTTGGGCGTGTTGGAGGCCTCTTGGGCCGTCTTGGGGCCCTCTTGGGGCCATCTTGGAGGCCACTTGGGCCGTCATGGGGCCCTCTTGGGGGCCTCTTGGGCGATCTTGGGGGCCTCTTGGGCCGTCTTGAGCCGTCGGAAAGCCGAAAAGGCGCAAATGCCAAAATCCCTCAAAAACTTGGGCGGACTTGGAGGCCATCTTGGAGGCCATCTTGGGCCATCTTGGCCATCTTGGAGGTCATCTTGGAGTGTTCCCCGAATCGGTTTGGAAAGCCTTCGGGGAACAGATGGGCGTCTTGAAGGTCATCTTGGCCGTCTTGGAGGCCTCTTGGGCGAACTTTCGGCGATCTTTGGGGGCTCTTGGGCCGTCTCGGGCCGTCGGAAGGCCGAAAAGAAGGAAATCTCAAAATCCGTCAAACACCTAAGGACAATCAATGTTTTTGGCCTCTTCTGGCCTTCCTGGAGGCCCTCTTGGGGGCCTCTTGGGCCCTTTTGGGCCAGCTTCGAGCCAACTTCGGCCATCTTGGTGGGCTCCTTGCACGTCTGACGCCGTCGGGAGCCGTCTTGGGGGCCTTTCTGGGCCAACGGGGGACCCTCTTGGGGCGGTTCGGGGCCGTCTTGGAGGCCATCTTGGGCGTCTTGGAGGCCATCTTGGGCGTGTTGGAGGCCTCTTGGGCTGTCTTGGGGCCCTCTTGGGGTCATCTTGGAGGCCACTTGGGCCGTCATGGGACCCTCTTGGGGGCCTCTTGGGCGATCTTGGGGGCCTCTTGGGCCGTCTTGAGCCGTCGGAATGCCGAGAAGAAGCAAATTCCAAAATCCTTCAAAAACCTAACGACAAATCAAGGATTTTGGCCTCTTCGGGCCCTCCTGGAGGACCTCTTGGAGGCCTCTTGGGCCGTCTGGGAGGCCTCTGGGGGGCCTCTTGGGCCGTCTTGGAGGCCGTCTTGGACCATCTTGGGCGAACTTGGAGGCCATCTTGGGCGGACTTGGAGGCCATCTTGGACCATCTTGGAGGCCATCTTGGGCCATCTTGGCCATCTTGGAGGCCATCTTGGAGCCGTCTTGGGCGGAAAATTGGGGAAGTGAGGTCCGTGGAAAAAATCCCGGGACCCCGGCGGGTCGGGCCGAAACCCATTGGGAGAGCTCTTTTGGAAAAAGAACCAAAACCCAAACCGATAGGGTCTGGCCCGCCGGGCACCCCTTTGCTGAAGCAGAAGGGGGCGGCGGATCGAATGGCCTTCGGCCCATCCCGCCACCGTGCCTGGCTTGTGGGTCAGAGTCATCAGCGTTGCTTCTTGGGGTCACTTCGGATCGCTCTCGGGGGCCATTTGGGGAAGCAGTTATTGGGCCTCTTTGAAGCCTCTTGGGGCCCTCTTGGAGCCTCTTGGGGGTCTCTTGGGGCCTCTTGGGGGCTTCTCGGGCCTCCTGGGGGCGTCTTGGGGCCGAAGGCTCGAAATGTCCGTTCTGGTCCCCCCTGTGGGCATCCTCTTGGGGCCGTCCTGGGGCCGTCTTGGGGGCTAGTTAGGCCGTCTTGGGCCCTCTTGGGCAGTCTCCGCACCCTCTTGGGGGCCTCTTGGGCCGTCTTGGGGCGATCTTGGAGGCCAGAAGATGTGACAGCCCAAGAGGCGAATATGCTAAACATATAGGTTTCCCTGCAGCTTGGTGGCTTCCTGGGCCGTCCAGAGGCGCTCTTTGACCGTCTTGGGCGCTTGGTGGGGGGCTCCGCGAAGTTCTCCGGGTCGTGGGGGCGTTGCAATCGTCCCGGAGGCCCATGCAGAACACCCCGGGAGTGCCCAAGAGCGTCCAAGAGCGCCCGGAAGCGCCCGGGAAATTGGTGTTCCGGGCTCTTGAGAAATTGCAGTCTTGGCTGCAGCAGCGGCAGCACAGCTGTGAGCCATAGGTACGGTGGCGGATTTTTGTTAATAAGGCATGGTGGGTGCGGGTCTGCATTGATCCGTGTTGGCTACCGCTCGCCTGGGGGAGTGGGTGCTCACTCAGAAGGAGCAATGATACACCCCTCTCCGAAGGGACAAAAAGGGGTTGGAAGAGGAATCCCCCTAAACCACTCACGCCCTAAAGGGCTGGTGGGATGTTGTCGAGCGTAGTAGAGCAGTGGTCCAGAACTCTGGACTGCGGTGATGGTGGTGTAAGGGGTCGGGTCCCCCAGGGAGTGGATGGGAAGTCGCGTCCCCAATCTCGGAGGCGATGGCACATCTCCTGGCAGGCCGAGCAAACCCACAGTCTCGCGACGCTTCAGGCCGTGCTCGGTTAGGCTTGATATACATGGAGGACTCCAGCGCCGAGGTCGGTCCCCAAAGCAGGCCGCCTGAGTCTCCGCCAGGCTGCAGATCGATGATCGATGAAACTCAGGAAAACCCAGTGAAGGCTGAGTTATCTCAGCAGTTTCCGCCGATCATGTTGGAAGCCTCGAGGACCAGTGCGTCGCCAACGCAGACCCCAGGGCTGCTGTGGGCAATCATGCCTTTCGGCGTCGCGGCCACGCGCGCAGTGATGCGGCGGATGCAGGCGGACGAGAATGCCGAATGGACAGTGCGGCTGCCGTGGCCAGGCACTCAGGCGACTCAGAGGGGACAACCATGTTTCACCAAGGGGGAACCGCGCTGCACGGGAGTCTCACGGGGGGGGCGGCCGATATAGGGGGACGCACGGGGGATTGAGCCACTGGATGGGGCACAGGTTGGGGGCCAGTAGGCACTCGAGCGCTCGGGAAACTTCTGGGGAACCAGCCGAGAGGGGGGACAGAGGGGGAGCGACCAAGGGGACGGCATGTGGAGGCATTGCGGTGCTCGAGCGCACCAGGACGTGCAGGCTGCAGGGGGTCGACGGGGGCACCGAGCACCGACCCCTTGTGCCTCAGGTGCTCGACGTCCTCGACAAGGTCCGCCACATCGGGGAGCAGGCCCAGGAGTGCCGCCCAGACAAGCACCGCGTCAGGCGCGCGTGTCTTCGCCGCCAAGCGGGCGAGGGACGAAGGCAGGTGTGGAGGTGTGCCCCTGGACGGGCTCTGCGCGCCCCCGCCCGAGCATCGCCAGAAGCACCGAGACGCCCCTGCCTTTGCCCTTGCTCTTTCCACCGCTCAGCCCGAATGGGAGGGGGTGGCCGATGGCGGAGGGCGGAGGGCGCAGCGCGTAGGAGGAGGATGAGAAGGAGGAGGAGGACGAGGACGAGGACGAGGACGGGTACGAGGACGAGGGAGATGACGAGGAAGATGACGACGACGACGGCGACGACAACGACGACGAACGACGACGACGACAACGGACGACGACGTCGACGACGACGAAAACGAAGACGACGACTGACGATGACGGACGACGACGACGACCTCGACGGACGACGACAACGAACGACGACGACGACGACGACGGACGACGACGATGGACGACGACGACGACGGACGACGACGTCGACGGACGTCGACGACGACGACGACGAGGAGGAGGAAGACGACGACGACGACGACGGACGGAGGGCGGAGGGCGGAGGGCGGAGGGCAAAGCGCGGAGGGCGGAGGGCGGAGAAGGAGGAGGTGGACGAGGAGGATGAGAACGAGGACAAGGACGAGGACGGGTACGATGACGAGGGAGGGGACGGCGACGACGACGACGACGATCGGCGACGACGACGACGAGAAAGAGGAGGACGACGACGACAACGACGGACGACGACTGACGACCACGACGACAACGGACGGCGACGACGACGATGACAACGGGGGCGACGACGACGACGACGACGGATGACGACGACGACGACGACGACGACTGACGACGACGACGGACGACGACGACGACGACGACGACGACGACGACGACGGACGACGACGATGAGGAGGAGAAGGAGGACGATGACGAGGAGGAGGACGGGTACGATGACGAGGAGGATTACGACGACGACGAAGACGGCGACGACGACGGACGACGCCGATGAGAACGACGACGGATGACGACGACGACGACGACGACGACTACAAACGACAACGACGACGACGACGTCGGACGACGACGACGACGACGACGGCCGACGACGACGACAGCGACGACGACGACGACAACGACGAGGACGACGACGACGACGTCGACGACCACGACCAGGACGACGACGACGAAGACGATAGACGACGACGAACGACGACGACGACGATCGGCGACGACGACGACGACGGACGACGACGAAGGACGACGACGGACGACGACGACGACAACGATGACGACCGACGACGACGACGACGACGAGGATGACGACTGACGACGACGACGACCACGACGACGACGATGGACGACGACGACGACGATGACGACCGACGACGACGACGACGACGAGGATGACGACTGACGACGACGACGACCACGACGACGACGATGGACGACGACGACGACGATGACGACGAGTAGGACGACTACGACGACGACGACGACGGCGACAACGGACCACGACGACGGCGACGACGACGACGGCCGATGACGACGACGGTCGACGACGACGACGAACACGGACTACGACTACGACGACGACGACCACGACGACGACGACGACGACCGACGACCGACGACGACGACGACGACGGACGACGACGATGACGACTTCGACGACGGACGACGACGACGACGGACGACGACGAAGGACGACGGAGGAGGACCTCGACGACGACGGCGACGTCGTCGACGACTGACCGTGCTTACGATGACGACGAACGACGACGACGATGACGATGACGTCGACGTACGACGACGACGATGACGAGGACGACGGCGACGACGACGGCGGCATCGGAGGTGGCGACGACGGACGACGACGACGACGAAGACGACGGTCGACGGACGACGACGACGACGACGTCGACAGGACGACGACGACGACCACGACGACGGACGACGACGACGACGACGACGGTGGCCGCGGCGGCGGCGGCGGCAACGATGACGACGACGACGACGACGACGACGACGACGACGACGACGACGACGACGACGACGACGACGACGACGACGACGACGACGACGACGACGACGACGACGACGGCGACGGCGACGGCGACGGCGACGGCGACGGCGACGGCGACGGCGACGGCGACGACGACGACGACGACGACGACGACGACGACGACCCCCGCGCCCGCCCCGCGGGCCCGCTGTCCCCCGCCCGCACGCGCGCAGGGTGCTGGCCGGGGCGCAGGCAGCGGGCGGGCGCGGCGAGAGTGGCATACGGCGGCGTGTTCAAGTCAGCTTGGCAAGCTTCAGCTAGGGGTATTCATGTCTGCCAGCTGTTTGTTGGCAGCATCGGGGTGATTGCGGCGGCGGTCCACGACGGCCTCCAGCGGAGGCACAGCGAGGTGCCGCCAGCGCCAGGCGAACACCTCGTGATGAAAGGCCCGAGCCCCGACCAGCGTGCCCTGCAGAACGTCTGTCTCGGCTATTTGGCCGCGCGCTTCCCTTCCCCGTTCGCCTGTGGCCCCAGGGACGCTACATCCGCTGACACGTGCGGCTCCCAATTGGTAGACGCTGCGCGCCGAAGGGTCTCCCGCCGGGTGGCTCTCGGCGCGAGGCGCAGGGCGCCCCTGCGCAGCGCCTCTTCGCGGCGGCCTCCTGGCGCCCTGCGCGCCAGCGGGGCCTGCCGAGGGCGTGGAGGTGGCGCTGCCGAGGCTGGGCCGCCGATGGGGGTCGGCCTTGGGGCTGGCGCTGGCGGCCTCGACCCGCAGCTGCGTCGGCGGCGGCTGCGGCTGGAGGCATCGGCTGCGTCTCTGGCTCGGGCTTGTTCTTGGGCTCGGGCTGGTGCTCGTGCTCGAACTCGGGTTCAGTCACGAGCCCGGTTTCGAGCCCAGCGCGTCCGAACCTTCTTCCGTCCGTGCTACTTAAGATAACTCTCCCCTGTCGCGCCCCGAGACGTGTTGGTTGGACGCGCCGGGCGTTTCGTCTGATATTTCCTCACCATGTATGATGCCTGAAACTTATATTTTGCAACAGCTTCGCGGAGGGAGGGCATGTCGTTGTCAAAATGTAGTTCTCTCCTTCGCGCCGCGCGCAAGGGCTTCAAGGATGGATGGTTGAACCCGGGTGGTTTTCCAGTGTGGCTTTCGCGTGCGCGCCGCGCACACATTGGTTTTGAACGATTGCAAAAGTTTGACGGGTGGAGGGCGGGTTGTTTTCGAAATGTGGTTTTCGCTTTTGCGCCGTGCGCATCGGTCTCAAAATATGGCCAGATATTGGCGTATGGAAGGCGTGCCGTTTTCAAAACGTCGATCTCGCTTCAGCGCCTCGCATATGTGGTTGTTGTTGTTGTTATTGTTGTTGTTGTTGAACATTATTAATTCTAAAGAATAATTATTGTTGGGCCCCCTGGTGCGCGCCCCCCCCGCCGCGCCTAGGCCGCAGCCACGTTTTCATCATTTTCGTGAGGAAGCCTCAGGTAATTCGAGTTGATCAAGATCCGGTTGTTTTGTTGTAATCCGTTTTCCCTTGCAAAAAACACTATAAAATGACATTTCTTGTTCTAATATAATCAAATTTCAAGAATCCCTTGCAAAAAATAAGGTAAAGTGGACATTCGCGCGCGCAAGACGAAATCCTTCCAAAAGCTTAGTGTTCGGAACGATTTTAACATAAAAACATCAAAAAACCAATGGTTTTTCAACAAAAAAATGTCAAAATCTCATCCCGCGCGCTCTTGCGGATTCGTAGGAAACCCAACACTTTTTAAACATTTCTGTCAAACGGGCTTTTGCGAGCAACTTTTTCGAACTTCTGCGACAACGGTTGCGCACCTGCCAGGGCCATCATCCCTGTCAAATAATACCATGCGGGACACATTCGTTTTTTCTTCGCGCGCGCACGCCGAAATCTCCAAAAACCATTGGGTTCTGTGGGTGTGTACCCCACGCCAGTGTAGTAGCCACGGTCGTCCGCACGCCACGAAGTGAAGTGTCCCAACGTCATAGGGCGGGAAGCTGGGTTTGGGTGGTCGCGAAGAGTCGTTTGGATATTTGGTAGAGCTTGTAATGCCCCCCCACGAAGTGGGGGTATTGCCTGGTGTCGTATGAAAACCCTGGCACTGGGGAGAACACCACGCGTTCGGGTAAAATGATTGTTGTTGTTGTTGTTGTTGTTGTTGTTGTTGTTGTTGTTGTTGTTGTTGTGTATTTTGGTATGTCTCTGCGTCGCAGGTGTTTGCTAACAGGTTTTCGTCTGTCGCCGTAATGTTGCTCAAGCTAGAAGCCCTAGCATGATTGCTGGGACCACCAGCACCGCCGCGATCACCTTCGCTCTGTTCACTGGAGTGTTTCTGCATCCAGCGAACTGGTGGGGCGGCGACGGGTGCCCCGGCGGTCTCGTGGGGTCTCTCTGGACCAGCAGCACCACCACCACCACCGTGACCAGCACCACTTCGAGTGCTGGGACCTCGACCATCTGGCTCGTGGCGCCGGCCGCGCCGTGCGCCTGCCCGGCCTCGGAGCCGGAGAGCTTCCGCGTCCTGGGCACGGGCGTGGCGGGCTCGACCGTGGAGGTGCCCAGCGGCCTGCTGCTCGCGCTGCTGGCGGCGCTGGAGGTCGCTGCAGGTGTCTGCGCGTGGCGCAGCTGCGCCAGGCGGGCTAGCGAGGCCCGCAAGCGGCTGCCGCTCGGGGAGACCCGCCTGCAGATCAAGTGATGATTCGACTGGGACGGCGCTCGAGGTTCGAGGAGGTCGTGAATCCTCTCCCGGGTGCCCGGGGCCTGGTGACTTTCGCCTCGGACCCTGGCTGGGCCCACGAACGCGTCTTCCTCTGGCCGACGGCTACGGAGGAGGAGGGGCCTGGCTTCTTCGTCTACACGCCGGGCGGCGACCTCTATGTGGAGAGCCTCTCGGACTACAGCAGCAGCGCCCTGCTCACAGGGCGTAAGGGCTACCCTGCCGGCGTGCCTCAGGTGGTGGCCTTCAGCAGGCCGCTGGAGCCCGAGGAGGTGGTGGAGCTGGTCAAGCGGGCGCGCGCGGAGGCGGCGGTGCTGGAGGGGGCCGTGGTGGAGGACATCACGGAGGCCGTGGACTGGCGTGGCCGGCGGCTGCCGCTGCCGCCGCACTCGGTGGTGCACGCGCCACGGGTCCGCCTGCGAGGGAAGCAGGAGCCCGCGGCGCTCCCGCTGCCGCCGCCTGCCGAGCCGCCGCCCGTGGGCGGCACCGCCATCCCCCCCTCGGCCCCCGAGGGTTTCGCTTGGCTGAGCAGCGACCTGGCCGCACCCCCGGGAGAGTTCGCCTTCGGCACGGAGGTGCTCCTGGGCTCGGACTCCTGCCAGCGCGGGCGCTTTGCTATCGTCGCGGACGCCTCTGGGAACCACCACCCCGCGGAGCTGGTGGAGATCAGCGGCGCTGGCGAGTGGCGGGAGGCGAAGCTGCGCGGCGCGGCCCGCAACCGCGGAGGCGAGGGTGCTCTGGAGCAGCGCCTGCTTGGTGACAGCCCTCCCCCTGCTGGCCCGGCGGCCCTCGGCCGCTCGCCGCCCCCTGGACAGGAGGACCCGGGCGACGATCTTCGCACGTGCTGGATCGACTACGACGACGCTGGGATCCGCTTCAAGGAGTGGCGCATGGTCCTACACGAGGCGACCCAGGAGAGCCTGCAGACCGCTGGCCTCAAGGGGCCCCCAGTGTGCCTCGCCATCTGCAGGAAGTTCTTCAAGCGCGGCGGGGATCCGAAGGCGTGGTTCGCCGAGTGGGCCCGCGAGGTGGGCGTCGCCAGGAAGGACAGGTCCTGGCACGAGGTCGAGTGCCTGATCGAGGCCCTGTGGCAGGCGGGCACCTTCGACCAACTCAACATGGGCGCCGTCGCGGCGCTGGAGGTGGTGTCCCGCCGGCTGCTGCAGTACGTGGAGGCGTATGCGAAGGGTGCTGACAACCCCAACTGGAGCGCGGCGAAGCACTTCAGCGCGACCACCTCGGCCCTGGACTTGGTGCCCGAGGACATGCGCATGTGTGCGGCGCGGCAGGCCAAGGAGGAGGCGGAGCTGGAGAGCCTGCGCGCCAGCGCCCGGCAGCCCGGCGCCGCGGCCCATGCTGGGGCCGACGCGACGGCGGCGGCGACGCTGGCGGGCGCGCCCCCCTCGCAGGTCGACGGAGATGCTGCTGGAGGAGCCGAAGGTCGAGGTCGAGGACGCGGTAGAGGCGGCCGTGGGCGCGGCTCGCGGCCGCCGGCAACATGACGCTGCCACCAGAGGGCGACGACGGCCCGATCGTCGCCCGAGGACCCCGCAGGGCGTGCGCGTTCTTGCCGTTGCCCCCGCTGCGAGCCGTGGGCCTTCTCCCGGAGGTGACAGGCGGGCGGCGCCGGCGGCTGCTTCGTGACATCGAGGCGGCGATCGACGCGCTGAATTGGACGTGTGGTAGCGCCTGCCGCCCGATCCCCCGTAGGATCTCATCGGCGACCGAGCGCAAGATTTTGGGCCTTCAGGCTGATGTGCGGCAGCGCGTTGTTGAAGCGGCAGCCCGCTGGAGCGACGCTGACAGCGCCGTCAGCGAGCGTGGAGCCTTGGCCAGGCTCTTGAAGGGGCGCTCGGGCTATACGCCGTCGCCTTCATGCAGTGTCGGGTCCTACGAGTACTCGAAGGTTTCGCTCCCGGGCGACTTGCACAATGCGCCGTCGCTCATCTCCATGCTGCCTTCGGAGGCGAGGATACAGCTCGAGGATTTCGAGAAGCATATGCTCCGACCCGCGCAGGAGTCGGAATTAATTCGTCAGTATGAAGGGGTGCCGGGCTGCCACGCCGACCCGGTGCTGCAGAAGAATCCCCGCGCCTGCGGCCGCCTTGTGCGGAGGGCTGCGGACTTCGGCCTGGTGACCTTTACTCGTGATCCCACTTGTGTTTTGGGCGTGTTCTTTGTCACCAAGAAGGCCGACAAGCTCAGGTTGATTGTGGATTGTCGTCGTGCCAACCAATTGTTCCACAAGCCCCCTGGCGTCGCCCTCCTGAGCGGCGAGGGGCTGGCCAGGGTGGAGATCGACGACTCCCAGGGTTTGCTGGATGGGCTCCCTTTGCATCTGGGGGTCGGAGACGTGGCCGACTGCTGCCACAGGATGAGGTTGACGAAGACTGCGGGCGGCGACATCCGCCGCTACTTTTGCTGGCCACCGCTGGCGGCACGGCATGCAGGCCTCGCCGAGCTCGACGGCGTCCCGCTGGAGCCAGGCCAGAAGATCTGGCCGATGTGCGCCAGCCTACCGATGGGTTTTTCGTGGTCACTGCATTTTGCCCAGGCCGCTAACTCAGTTCGTCTGGGGCGTCAGCCTTCGCTGGTCCGAAGCCAGGAGCTCTCGGACCGCGGGCCCTCCCTGGTGTTCGGCGGCTCCCGCGTCATGGAGCAGGCCGGCCACTACATGTACGTGGACAACGCTGGCGTCATGTCCTTCGACGGCGGTCTGGTCCGACAGGCTCTCGCCGAGGCTCAGCGGGACTTCGACCACGACGCGCTGCGCTTCCACGAGATGGAGGTCCTTGAGCACGGTGGGAGTTCGCTGGGGTGTCACCTGGACGGCGACAGCCGAGTGGCCCGCCCCGGCAGCCGGCGCTTCGGTTTGGTGCGGCAGGGCGTACGCGCCCTGCTGCGACTCAAGAAGATCGCCGGCTGGCAGCTGGAGGCGGTCCTGGGCCACATCACCTTCCTGTGCCTCATGCGTCGCGAGCTCCCCTCGATCTTCCACGTCGTGCACCGCTTCGTGCGGGAGTCCTACGGCAAGTTCCAGCCGCTGTGGGCCTCTGCCCGAGAGGAGCTCGTGGCCTTCGTGGGGGCGATGGTCTTCATCGAGGCCGACTGGGAGCAGCCCTGGACGCCCTACGTTTACGCTAGCGACGCCAGCCTCCACGGTTTCGGGGTGTCGCAGTCCCTGTGGTCGACCGCGGACGTCGCAGCTGTTGGGCGCGTGCCCGAGGTCAGCCGCTATCGCTTGGGCGGCGCCCGCGCCCGTGAGCACGCTTTCGAGGTGGCCGGCTTCAGGGTCGACCCCGAGAGCGGCGAGGTGGAGCGCGACTTCTTGGGGCGGCCCGTGCGGCTCGACAGGGAGGCGCGCGAGATCTTGGAGGCTGCGCGCTGGGAGCACAACGATGACTTCCCCGAGGTGCCCAGCAGCCTGCTGGCGAAGGATCGCTGGCACACCATCCTTGCCGATCGCTGGCTCCACGCTGATGACATCTTGCGCCTGGAGGCCCGGGCGGTCGTCAAAGCGGGAGCCCGCGCACGTCACATTCGTTCGGTGAAAAATTGTCGAGTGCTCTTGCTCGGTGACAATCTTGCCATCACTCTTTGTTTTGCTCGGGGTATGTCGAGGGACTGCAGGGTGCTTGGGCAACTAAGGCGACTTTTCAGTTTATCTCTTGCTCGCAATGTCCGCCTGTATTTCCGTTGGGTTCCCAGCGAGTTTAACTCGGGCGACGAAGGTAGCAGAGTTTTCGACGCGTCTTATAATGCCGACAAGACTCTCGTTTCCCACTTGGGGCCCCTGATTGGGGGCCCAGGGGCGCATCTCGAGGGCGAGGGAGGCCCCAGTGGCGTTGATCAGTGCCTCTCCCCTCCTCGTCCTTCCCTTAGTGGACATGTTGGCTCCAACCAATTGCCGACCTCAGAGGCGACACAATGTAGTGATGTCAGACCGCCCTCCAGCCAGGGCGCGAGGGCCGTCGGCCCCTCCGCGCAGGCGCTGCTGGGCTGCCTCGGAGGCCAGACCGACGACGGAGGTGGCGCCGGCTCGCACCCGCGTTTTGACTCTGGAGCGGGGCCCCGAGCGACCGCCTGCTGGTGCGCTCGGAGGCGTCGAATCCGAGGGGGCACGCCGGCGTCGAGGAGAGCACCGAGACTTTCCTGGCGCGGTGCGCGGAGGAGCTCCCAGCGGGGCCGGGGCCAGGCCCGTGGGCCGACGCGCCCGCCCGCGGGGGTGCCGAGGCCGCGGGCGCCAGCGAGGAGAGCGACTCCTCGGACCCCGAGGAGCGGGCGGCCGCCGCGGCGCGACGGCGCTGCCTGAGCCGGCGCGGGAAGGGCCACGTGCGTCAGGCCCTGGCCGCGCTGCTGGACGGCGGGCCGCTCTCATCCCGCCTCGCGCCGCTGGAGGTGAGGTCGGTGACGCCGGCGGCTGCTGCCCAGTGCCGCCAGCGCGTCCAAGAGTTCTTGATCTGGCACCACTCCTCGGACGCGATCCTGGACCGCCCCGCGGAGCTCGACGCCGCCCTGGTGTCCTTCATGAACCACGAGTTCGAGAGCGGGCACAAGAGCTGGAGGGGGGAGAAGCTTCTGGCGGGCGTGATCTTCCATCGACCTCAGTACGGGCGGCATGGAGCGGACCACCTTCCTCGCCCCCTCCGGGCTCTGAAGGGATGGCGCAAGGCGTCGCCATCTCACTCGAGGCGGCCCTTGACGATCGGGATGTGGGCCGCTATCTGCGTAGAGATGGCCCGCGTGGGATATCTCCTGGCCGCCGCCATGTCGCTGGTGATGGTGGAGTGCTGCCTGCGGCCGGGGGAGATGCTGGGCCTCGCGCCGAGGTCCTTCCTGCCGCCGGCCCCCGGCGGGGTGACGAGCTGGGTGCTGCTGCTGTTCCCCCAGGAGGGGAACCTGAGGAGCAAGACAGGGGAGAGCGACGACAGCATCCCCCTCGACTCCCGCAGGTTCGTCTCGATGGACAGCGTGTACCGCGTGCTCTCCCGCCGTCGTGGATCGGGCCGCCTCCTGGGCTGGACCTACCGCGAGTACGTGTCGGTCTTCAGGAGGGCTTGCGCCCGCCTGGGCTGGGCGGTGGTGCCGCGCCAGGGCCGACGCACAGGGGCCAGTGCGGACCGCGCGGAGGGCCTGCGGACCCAGGAGCAGGTGATGAAGCGGGGCCGCTGGCAGGCCCTGAAGAGCGTCCGCCGCTACGAGAAGGCGGGGCGCGTGAATCAGGCGTGGAATGAGCTCAGTCGCGAGGGTCAGGGCCACGTGGCAGTCTGCCTGCGGTCCCTGGAGGGCATCTTCCTGCAGGGCGCCGCCCCGCCGCTGCCGCCGCGGGCGCGGAGGGAGGCCGTCCCCGCGCCGAAGCGTGCCGGGCCCTCCTAGACGCGCCCAGCCGCTACCTACTGGATTTGTTCGGAGGCGGTGGCGGACTTCGGCGCTCGGCGCGGCGCTGGAACACGTCAACGGTTTGCCTCGACTTGCGCAACTCTCCTGATCAGGATCTCACCTCAAAGCAGAATGTGAGAACGATAATCCGACATATATCGACAGGCCGAGTGGCCGCTGTGATGGTGGCTCCTCCGTGCTCAACTTTCTCTGTGGCACGGAATCGCTTCCCTGTGCGCGATGCTCTACACATTCGTGGTCTTCCGAATCTTTCTGCGGTTGACCGTCTCAAGGTCGATATAGGTAACAGGTGTCTGGATACTTGTATTGCCGTCATCAGGGCCTGTAGGCGTTTTTCGGTTCCCTGTGCCCTAGAGAACCCGCAGACCTCCAGGCTCTGGCAGGACCCGTCACTCAATCGAGCTGTAGAGAATCTCACTAGGATCACAATTCATCAGTGCGCTTTCGGAACCAGATATCGGAAGGCTACAGATCTCCTTTTCCTGAATGTAGTGGATCTTGAATTGCTTCGAATGGAGTCCTGGAGATTCCGCTGCACGGGCAAACATGGTTTTTGCAGCTTTAGACTTGGTAAGAAACATTTGACACTCGTAGGTTCTTCGATGACTAGCCGAGCCGCCAAGTACCCTTCGAGGCTGTGCGACTTCCTTGCGAGATCCCTCTTGGGAAACAGTAGGTGACGCCACTCCGCCGATCCCCTGCTCCCGTCCTCGTGGGGTCTCGGAGGCGGGATTGTTTTGCCAGGTGAAAGCCGCCCGCCGCTTCGCTGTGATTTTCCGTGTTTGCGAAAGGTTTTGGATTTCAAGCCTCAGCCTTCCTAGCGTATGCATCCAGCCGGCCTCTGCCATCAAACGTTCTCCGCAGAAAAGCGGGTAGCATGTCTCTGCGTCGCAGGTGTTTGCTAACAGGTTTTCGTCTGTCGCCGTAATGTTGCTCAAGCTACCCCCCCGACCTCACCCGCCTGAACACTCCCGCTGGGAGTAGGATTTCAAGCCTCAGCCTTCCTAGCATATGCATCCAGCCGGCCTCTGCCATCAAACGTTCTCCGCAGAAAAGCGAGTAGCATTTGTCTTCTTTTCTAAACCTGCGCGAAAGTTTGACGGATTGAAGGCGGGTGTTTTTCAAAACATTGCGTTCGCCTTAGCGCAGCGTAACATCGCTTTGAACATTTGCAAGAGTTTCACGGATGAAAGGCTGGCCGTTTTTCACACTGTGGTCTTCACGGATGGAAGGCGTTTTTTTTTCCTTCACAATGTGGCCGAGCACATTCGTCCTGAGAGTTTGCAGTAGTTTCACGGATGGAAAGCGGGTGGTTTTCAACATGCGGTTTTCGCATTGGCACCGCACACACACGTCTTAGAAGCTGGCAAGAGTTTGGCGGATGGAGAGCGGCTGGTCTTCGAAATGTGGTTTGCGCGGTAGCGTTGCCGCACACATCCGTTTTAAACTTCTACAAGAACTTCAGGAGTGGAGGGAGGGGTTCGGCATCAAACTGTGGCTCTCGCTTTAGCGCCGCACGCATTCGTTTTCAAAAGTTTACACGAATTCGGTGAATGGAATGCGGTTCCTTTCGAAACACGACCCTCGTCTGGGCGCCGCGCACATTCGTTTTAGAAGCTTGCGACAATTTCACAAATGGAGGGCAGCTGGTGATCAAAATGCGCATCTCGCCTTAGCGCCGCGTACCCTCGTTTAAGCAACTTACGACAGTTCAACGGGTTCGTACATTTGACGTCCCTAGAGTGTTGCCTCATCACATCACCCCCGCGACTGATACGGGAACCCCCCAATCCCCCAGGCCGTTTTGTTTTCTTCCCTTTTCGGGGGGCCCACTTTCGCGGCGACCCGATAAACCCGGGACCCCTTAGCGGCGCATGGATGTTGTTCTTTCTTCCGCGGGCGTATTGCAGCCCGTGCCCCTGAACCCCTCTGGCTAGCATGTGAGTGAAATTGGTGCCACCATGTACTAGCCCGCATATGCTCCTAGAACGCACCTGGTCCTGCAGTGCAGCTAGCCTTGTCGAATTGAGATCGAGGCCTTTAAGGAAACAGTATATATTCGTGGCTGAGGAATAATGAAGGAAACGCTATAGGATCGCGACTTGGGAGTACGGAGGCAGCGGTTGAGGAATATGGAAACAGTATATCATGTCGATTTCGGAAATAAGACACACAGTACCGTGCAAGCGATGCTAGTACAACTCCCGAGTGCAACTACTATTTGAGTGAAGCTGAATTGCATTTACAATCTGGACTCTCGCACTTCTCTTCCTCTGGTTGCAGTTGGGGGTGGGACCCCGCGCGCCAGCACCCCCGCGGCTGAGACTTCATTCCTCTTCCAGAGTTTTATAGCCAGGGGTAACCCCCGTGACTGAAACCCTCGCCAAGGATTTCTTTCTCTCTTCGCGGGAACTGGACCCCCTGGATTCCTCTGCGCGCCCCGGAATGCTTTCCTTCCGGGTGGCCCCCCATGGGTCCCATGTTGGAGTCGCCCGGGTGATCTCGTCACGAGTTAAGATTGTCAGGGCGCACCAGTCACGTCGATTCGTGGTGTGGCAGTCCCAGGAATTATGTTTTGACACGATGCAGGATCGTCAGGACGCAACAGTAAAGTTTATTCGCGGCGTTGATCCAAGAAGTGGTGCTGATATTTGGCTGAGGGTTCTCAGATGGCTATCTTCCAACGGGGCACTTCCAGCAGCGGCCATCGAATTCTTGCAAGGATCTATGAAGAGGGCATTTTGAGGGAGGGTTTATTGCAGCATCGTTTATGCGTCCTGGGTTTGAACTGGTCCTCCTCCGAATCGGTGGCCTGATTCTCGGCCACGCTCGCGGGGAGCCTCTGGCCGCAGACTTGCCTGCCCACGTCGCAGCCCTGGCATGTTGTACCGAGACGTGACGAGAAGCCAAACACAATTGGTGCGTTGATTGAAGCTGGAGTAGTGGGGGTAGCACCAATGGGAGGGCCAGAGCAGGTGCAATAGTACTTGCAGTAGTGTTGCACAGATGATGGATGCACCAGTTCGCGGTCTGGACGCACTATTTTCGCCCGTGGATGCAAGCGTGTATTCTTCTAAACTCAATTACGCCCGTTGCAACAGGTCGTGCCCCTCAGCAGTAGTTCGCGCAAGAGTTTGCGCAAGCGAACTCTTGCACCTCCCACCGCCCCCCCTTTGGCGTTGCCCCCATCGCTCCAGTCTAGAGTTGATCATTGGCTGGTTGCAGAAGGGCAGGGCGCGGCCGTACGGGCTCGTGACGTGGAGCGCTCCAGCTTTGGGCGTGCAGCCGTCGCAGGTTCTCTGGCGGTGCTGCAGGAACGCCCCGCCCCACAGGGGCTCGCGCGCAGGACGGCGCCGCGCGCTGCCTTGTCTCACAGGTGGAGAAGTACCCATACCACCTTTCCCTCGTTTTCTTCGCCACGGCTGGATTCGGCTCGAAATTCTTGTCAGAGCGCACCCCAGGAGAGGTCCTGGGAGTAGCGGTATCGGTACCTTTTGGTTTCCCTTGTGTCGACCCGTGAAATCCAGGCCTCCCAAGCGGGGCCCGGCCAGATGGGGCCGCTTGTCGCCAGGCGCCCCCGAGTGGAGGGTAGCGCCGCATCGCCCATGCACCCATGCATCGGCGATGCGGCTCGATGTGAGGCCCGACGTTCTCCACGCCGACGTCGCCGATGCATCGCGAACGCATCGCTGATGCATCGGCGTTCCGTCGACCCCGTCTACTCGGATCCCGCTTGAGAGGCTCCCATGGAAACGTGCCGTCTGCAGAGCGAATGGCAGCAGTTCCAGGTGCGTGCCGAGGCTTCCGTGTTCGTGCCCGGGGCCACCGCGTTCGTCGCGCCATTTTCTGCCTTGATGGAGTCGCGGTTCGACCAGGCAAGACATACAATCGGATGCAGTGTCAAGCACGAGCGACGTCAAGCTTCCTCTTGCCGTTGCTTATGATGCACTTGTTGTTGCCGAGGTTCCTCAAAGAGAGGTTGCCGATCAGGTGCTAGCAACGCGGGGCCTCCGCAACGCGTGGTGCTGCGGGGCCGTGGCCTTGTTCGCGCAGCCTGCGACACAGCCGCAATTAGCCTGCCTGGGAAATGCCCCTCTGCCAGCTGGACCGCTGCTGGCGCAGACTGACTTATTAAAGTGGCTCCATTGGCTACAGCGATTACAGCAGCCACAGCACACTTCGCCGTTCAGTACGGCTGCAACAACCATCGCGGCACGTGGGAAGGCGCCTACTACCGGCTACAGCTGCCCAGCGGCCACAGCGACGAAAATTGCTACAGTGACTTCGACGGTGATGTTGGCTCCGAGGTGCCATGCGCCGACGACGACCACGGCAACGTCGCACAAGATTGCCAACGCGACCACCGCAAACGCTGATCCGCGAAGGTGAAGCAAAGGGAGACCTTCTCGTCCCATGCATGTGCTGTGTCCTCTTGACTTCTGCTTTTGTCATCCCTTCCTTCTGCCTCCTCGCGCGGGTTGCAGGGGAAGGCAGGCGTGCCCGCCCGCTTGCCGCCATTCGACGCTCTCGGACACGTTGAGGCTGCGCAGCGCGCGGGGGAGTGGCCGTCGCAGGCCCAGGTTGCCCTCCGCTTGTGGGCGCACCTGCTGCGCCGCGCGCGTCCGCGCTCCCTGCCGCCCGACTCGCCGGCCGCGCCAATGATTTGTTCTCTGAACGGGGTTGCTCACTGCTGTCGCGATCGGCCGCACTCGTTGTCGCTCAAGCTCTTTTCCCCGGAGGGGGGATGGTCCCTCCGTGGGCAGCCAGCGCGGTCACCCAGCTGGCGCATGGGGTCTCGAGCTGGCTGAGCCAGGCACCTGCGGCACCACCGTGCCCCGCGTGCCCATACTGCCACTGCTCGTGCCCCTCGGTCTCGGTGCCTGCCTGCCCAGCCTGCCCGGGGGCGCCCCGCTCTTGCCCGGAGGCGGCTCGGCCGACGTCTCCTTCGGAGCCGCCGGGGCCTTCCATCGCGCGCGCCTGGGCGACCACTGTGGCGGCTCTCGTCGCGGGCATCAGGATCAGCGAGGTCAGCCACTTGACCGATGGCTGTTGCAGCCGCCGCGGACGCCGCGGACTTGGTGGCCTACATCCTGTATGCGGTCCCGGGGCCCCCGCTCTGGCACCAGCGATTGAATCTGGGACGGGTGGGGTCTTGTCCGAGTGACGCGATCCTCGTCTCGCCCGATCGACTGGTGCAGTGGGAGGTGGTGGACGGGAGCTCGGGCGACATCAGTGCTGTGCGGCGGCCAAACTAGGAGAAGGAGGAGGATGAGGAGGAGGAGGAGGACGAGGAGGAGGAGGAGGAGGAAAAGGAGGAGGAGGAGGAGGAGGAGGAGGAAGAGGAGGAGGAGGTTGAGGTGGAGATGGTGGAGGAGGGAGATGAGGCGAAGGACAAATAGACAAATGAAGAACAACATGAGGAGGGCGAGGACGATTTGTAGTACAGTGAATTGGCAGGCAGGTTTGCCGCGGAGCAGACATGCCGCAGCTGTCTCCGACGGAGTCAGCCCGAGGAAAAGTTCAGATGGGGCGCATGACCAAGCTGCCACTTTTACCGTCATCACTACAGCCAGGGGGAACTTGCTTCAGGAAGTCGGTCGCGACACAGCTGTAGTCCGGCCCTGGCTCCCACCCGTTGCAAGCAAGGACAAAAGACAGAGGCATACGAGTAAGTACTGCACCTTTGGATGTGCACCGGCTGTGCGGTCGGCCCCTCGCCCCTTGCCGCTGTCACCCGCGTCCGACTACGGCAGGCAGGAGAAAAACGGCGCTCAAAAGCGATCTCGCCAGGGGCGCTCGGATCGTCACCCCCGAGGGCGCGGGGCCCGTGTCGGAGCTGGAAGGCAGGTGCAAGTGGCTCATCGGGACGCTCCACCTCATGGTGCGCGTGTGCGTGTGCGTGTACGCGTGTGTGCGCGTGCGTGTGCGTGTGCGTGTACGTGTGCGTGTGCGTATGTGTGTGCGTGTGCGCGACCAGAAAGCTTTCTGTCGAATAGACGGATTGTCCTGGTTTACCGAAGGTCTTATCATCGCCGATCGCACAACAGGCCCAGGAACTGGCGTGACCACCGCAAAAGCGCCCGCGCGCGCTCCGGGGGCCTCCAGAGGTCCCCCCGGGAGGCTCCCCCTGGAGGCCCCTGGCGGTCCAGAGAGGCCCCAGGACGCCCCAGGCCGGGCACCTCCGAGGTCGAGACTTGGGTCGGACGAAGGGGGGGGGCACAGGGCATGGGGCAAGGGCGGGTGCGAAGTCTGCCCCATGCAGCTGGTCTCGGCCCCGCCGCCGGGCACACTTGCTCGATGCACTGGCGCCCCTGGCGCCAGGAGGCGCCCTAGCCCTCTCGTCCGACCCGGGAGGGGCCCCAGTGCAGCGTGCGCGCACTTGTTTATTCGAGAGGCTTGCGCCATTCCGCCGACCCCCAGGAGAAGGATGAAGTCCCCGTGTGAGGCCTTTTGGGGCCTCTTGGGGACCCTCTGGGGGCTTCCTTTGGGCCTCTTGGGAGCCCATTCGGGCCTCGTGGGAGTTTCTTGGGCGTCTGCTGTCGGTCTCGGGGGTCCTCTTGGGGCGGAGGGCTCGGAATCTCAGTTCGAGTTACCTCTTTTGGGCCCCTCTTGGGGCCCTCTTGGGGCGCTCTTGGGCATTCTTGTGCACCTCTTGGGCCGTCTTGGGCCGTCTTGGGCCCCTTTTCGGCCGTCTTTGGGGGCCCTCTTGGGGGCCTCGTGGGCCATGGTGTAGCGATCTTAGGGCCTCTTGGGCTGTCTTGGACGCTGTTTGATCACGAAAAACATAAGTTGCTCAACACACTCACACATATATATATATATATATATATATATTTATATATATGAGAGAGAGAGAGAGAGAGAGAGAGAGAGAGAGAGAGAGAGCGTGATCCGCCGCCGCTTTACTGTGGGAAATTGCCACCCTTTTCCTCCGGAACCCGGGGGTCCCCCCCCCCCTCCCCCCCCCTCCCCCCCCCCCCCCCCCCCTCTCCCCCGGCAAACCCCCCCCTCCCCTAACCCCCCCCCCCCCCTCGAACTCGAAAACCGGGGGGGGGTCACTACCGGTTCGAACCCCCCCCCCCTCGAAAACCGGAGGGGGGGTCACTACCGGTTCGAACCCCTCCCCACCCCCCCTCTCACCGCCAGCTCACGACTCCCGGTCCCTACCACCGTCCTCACCACATCCCCCACTTTTGTTCCCAGCACCACTGTCCTCACACCACTGTCCCCACTGGTTCCACCACCGCTCCTACGGTCCCCACCAGTGCCACCACCACTGTCGAACTGTCCCCACTGTTCCCACCACTGTTCCCACCACGGTTCCACTCTTCCAGCTTTCTCCACGACTATCCCCACTGTCCCCACTGTCCCACTGACTCCTCCGCTGTCCCACTGAGCTGTCCCACTGTTCCCACCACTGTCCCCACTGTCCCCACCACTGTCCCCACTGTACCTCTGTCCCATTGTCCCACCGCCGTCCTCGCCACCGCCATCACCACTATCCCCACCACCACTGTACCCTCCACTGTCGTATTGTTTCCACCACATTCCCACTGTCCCCACACCACTGTCCAACTGGGAGGGGGGGGGTGGTTCGAACCGGTAGTGACTCCCCCCGGTTTTCCGGAGGGTGGCGGGGGAGGGGTTCGAACCGGTAGTGACCCCCCCCGGTTTTCCGCCAGCAGCGGTAGAAAACGCTCTTTCATTTATATATATGTGTATATATATATATATACATATACATGTTTATGTATTTATATATATATAATCTGTATGCCAGTTGGATTTTGACGAGTTTGCTCCTCGGGGTCCCCTTGGGCTCCGCGAGTGGTCGTATGGGTGCAGTGGGGTCATCAGTTTCCGAGTCATGTCCGCCGTCATGCATTGTTTCCACTCTATCGGCTATTGTGGGGGATGAGAGCCTATCTTCGCCAGGGAACCGGGATTTCTAGACTATAGACGGGAAGATATCAGGACCATGGTACTTCCATAGCCAGCGTGACTCCAGGCGACCAGCGACTACACAGTGCGGAGGCTGCTGATGGCATCATGTCTCCGCGACGGAATCAGGCAGCCCACGTGATCTTCGCCGCCGCCGTCGCGGGAACAGTTCTCGGTGGCGCCGCGCGTCGTGATGGAATGGGCGCGCAACCGATCAACTGTGAATGTGCTAGTGAAAGCGGATGTGGCGGTATTGCTCGAGGAGATGGGCGTGGTCGTCAGTCCGACGTGGTCATCATCGAAGCTCAAGGAAATCCTGAAGGACGAGATGTTCCCGAAAGGGCGAGGCCGACGACCGCAAGCGGTTGAGAAGGAATCATGGGCATGAAGGGGAGTGAACAGGTGGACCTCGGGGCCCAGACTGGCGCCCCGACGACGCCAAGGATGACGCGCGAGGACCTGCGCATCAGCATGCGCACGACGGTGATGGACAAGTCAGTGCCCCGCGGGACCGACTACGTGGAGTTCGGCAGACATGGTGCCAGTACGTACCAGGAGGTGATGCCGCAGCACGTGGATTATGCAAGGTGATGCGTGTACAGCAGGCCGAGGAGACCGACGGCCCGAAGGAGCTTGAGCGGTTTGCCTCATGGATGGACGCTGCTGCGGTGATCGAGAGCTGCGAACCTCGGGAAGTGCCGAGACCGCGGGCCCAACCGGCGCAGCCACTGGCGCCCTGCGCGACCCTACTGAGGGAGGCGACGTGGGTCGCGAGAAGGAGGGGCGCGGGCGTCATGGCGCAAGATTCCGAGACGGACACGAATTGGCAGGACACCATGATGCCAGAGGTGAACGCGTCGAGTGGTCAGGCCGCGGAGCAGATGTCAAGGAGCTCAGGTCCTGAGCCCTCACCAGCAAGGCCCCATCACGCGCGCCATCCGCGAGCAGGGCTGCGAGAAGGAGTTCGGGGCATGATGGCCCAACGCGACAGCATGTATCTGATGGAGTTGCGCTGCAGCCCTGTGTGGTCCCTGAGCAGCGAGATGGAGAAGGAGCGCGGCGAGGGATCAGTTATGCGCGTGGGCAGCTGGAACGGCCGCAAGCTAGGGGCTGTCGAGGGTGACCGGGCGGCCCGCCAAACGAGGAATCAGTGCCCGCCGAAGCGCGCGTGGGTGGCATCCAGCGATGGCCCCCCTCAACTCCACCACTGCGTGCCCGAATGGCAGATCCTGCGACCCAGTCGTCGTGGAGAAGACCCGCCAGAGGCGCGCGCGCGCGCCATCCGCGAGCACAGGGGCGCCGCGCTGGTAGCCTACGACCAGGCCGCGACAGGTGGGCGCGCCCATTAGGAATGGCCTGTCGGTTGCGAAGGCTGGGCGCGCAACGCGATGGGGAGGGTGATCGACGACGCGGGGGCGACCGCGGCGAAGGGCCAAGGGCCCGCCGGACAGCTGCGACGTGAAGAAGGGGCGCCTAGCGGCGACGACGTCGCCCAAGATGGCGGCGCGCCTGGAGGAGGAGTGCCCCGGAAACCATCTGCGTCGGCATCTCCAAGGCGGGGGCGCCATGGGCGCTGGCGCCTACGCCCCGGTCGAATGGCACGTCAGGTCGTGAGGGCGAATTGGAAGACGAGACTGGGGGCCACTTGCAAGTCGCGATGGGCGCGGCCAGCTGCGCGGCGGCTAACGAGTCGGAGAAGCCGGGCGAGCCGATGCAGGAGGCCGCGCAGAAGTCGAGCACCGAGGAGGGCGCTAGGATGCACCGTTGGCTCACTTCCGCGCGCAGAGGGCGCGGCCATGCGCCCCGCGCAGCAATGGGGGCAGCGCCGCGGAGACAAGGGGCGCCCATGGCGGTGGCCGAGGCCTCTGAGGCGTTCACCTGCGACGCCTGCATCGAGTCATTCAGGCAGCAGCCAGCCGCCGCGCCAGCGCCCTTGGAAAGCGCCCCAGCGAAATGGAAGCGCATCCAGGCGGGCCAATTCGAGCGGCAGATGTGGCGCCGCGCGCGGGTGGCCAAGCGGTTGCGTCGGATGGAGGGCCCCGAGGGTAATTGGGGCCCTCGGCGGGGCGAGCTGACGGGGTTCCACGAGGAAAGGTGGCCCCGTGCCTCGGGGCGCCTCAGGGTTCACGCGTGGCCCAGCAGGGGCCTGTATGGACAAGCCCGCGGCGCTCTGCTTTGACGAGGACTCGATTTATCAGGGGGCGATTCCAGGCCGCGCGCGCTGGCGCATATCCATCGCGGAAGAGGCGATCAGGGCGACGTAGGCGACCGTGGATGCACCGGTGGCCGCGAAGCGCGCCGCGTCCAGCGACGAGGCCCTGGCCCGCGCAGTGGCCGCAGGCAACTTTCGAGAATGTGTCCGAGGCCACCCCCCTGCAGCACGCGCTGGGCCGCGCCCCAGACATCGGCGGCCATTTCTTTCAGTCCGACTTCGATGAGCTGCCCTGCGTGGATGCGCGGCGGGCGGGCCAACAACTCGGTCGGAATTGCCCTCGGTCGGATGCTCCAAGCCGAGCAAACGCGCCTCAAGCAGGTCTACCAGCAGAGGATCAGCTGGGCAGTGAATGCGAATAACCATGTGCTCAACAGTGCGGTCCCTGGGACGTTCGCGAGGGACTACAGGAAAGAGCAGGGCAAGGTTCGCGGCGCCTACGACAGGATGGCGAGGGCCCTCGCCGCGGAGACCGCGCGAACCTTGGGGCGCGACGGCCGCCGGCCCGACCCGCGGCCTAGGGTGGCCATCACCAGCGGCGCGGTTCATCCGAGGGGGCCGACTCGCGAAGGCAGACCTGGCCCAGTTGAAGGGGGTCGCCAGCGCCCGCGAGGTCGCTTGTTCCGAGATGATGGATGGTGCTGGATCGAACGCGCATGGGAAATTTCTCACGCCATGGGAGGTGAACCCCCAGCCAATATATGGGCATCACGGGGGTCCACCCGCCC